GCTTTACCATTAAGCGGATAGATCTATAGCAAGTTCTAATGGATAAGCAACAACCACAGAACCACTCATATCCCTCTCCAATACCAAAAACAATAAGCAGTGAAAGATCACCTCTTTTGTAGAGTCATTATTTTAATATTTATTTTTTGAATAATTTTAATTTGTGTTCGAGTGTGAATTAAGAATTAGCGTCACTCTTAGGAATGGGGTGAGTGCTAAATTTGAAATGAATCACAGTTACTAATTAGATGCATTCAACAATTATTACAAAAATATTAATATAAAACTATAATATTCAACATTCATCATAACTTTAGATTTTTGTGTAATGGTTAAACGATATTATCAGAGCAACACATCTTTAATTTTGCAGGGCACAAATTTAAAGTGATTTTTGTAAAAATTAACATTGATACGTGAGTCCAGATTTTAACCTATTAAAAAGGTCGCTCAACCTGTAGAGATATGTTAGCATCACTATAATATTATAATTCTCAATCCTCATCATTGGAAGTGGAGAGAGTCCAAATTCGGATCATCAATAAAATATTAAGCTTAAGTAAAGATAAATAAATATTAAAATATGAAATATTTTAGAAGCTAAAATTGCAGAGTCTATTGCAACCTTTTAGTGTTATTATTATTTAATAAAAAACATACTACTAAAAACAATAGGGTTTTTTTAATTATTAGCTCTCAGATTTTTAGTTTTATCCTCAAGTAATTACACATCTTCAGCTTACTATTGATGCTAACAATTTGGTTGTTTTATGAAAAGCACAAAAAGCAATTTCTAGAAAAGGAAACTGAAAAATGAGTTTTCAATCCATTTCATAATATTTGTTTGCTTGGAAGTATCACTAAAGTAGAAGAAGTAAAATAAAGAAGTAGAGTCTACTTCATTAAGTGAAATTTTTTTGGTGAAACATGCAAAATAATTTATTTTCACTATTTTCTGCTTTATAACTTTAGAAGTTTAAATTTTTATGCAAGCCTCACTCTTAAAGCTTTTATCAACCAAACAATAAGACTAAAGATGGAAGTAGAGAGAGGCGATTGGGCCAGAAAGAAACAGTTGTTCATACCGGGTAAAAAAATTGGAACGACATATAGACATATACTGTGAATATTTGGAAGTTTTAAAAATATTTATGATTGAAATAATCGTATGAAGAAGCTTTCATAAATAAATTTATCAATCATTACATTATTTATTTAAGTCAAAATAGTAAGGGAAAAATGTGTCCAGGCCCCAAAAGCAGAAACTTCATGTGACAAGGCCCCTCATAGTTTTCCCCATGTGGATCAGCCCCTTGAAGTGTGACACTTTGTACTACAGCCCCTTTTTTATTAATTATCTCATGCCAGCTAAGCTAAAATTCTCAAACTATCCTTATCCTCTCTCCTCAATCTCTCTGACCCAGCACTCATATCATCTCTCTCTCTCTCTCTCTCTCATATCATTACTCTCTCTCTCATATCATCTCTCTCTCTCTCTCTCTCTCACCTCTCTCTAAAACTAAGAGCTTTCTCAAGCTCGTCGTCCTGGTCGAGACGCACAGAGCATTAATCTATTAGCTAGAAGAAGAAAAGAAAAAAAAGAAAAAAAGAAAAAAAAGAAAAAAAGGAAAAAAAGAAAAAAGAAAGGTAAGGAGAAGTAGAGTAGAAGGGGAATGAAGAGAAATGCTGTAATTAAGAAAGAACGAAAATGTGTATTAATGTATCTCTATGAATAAAATTGCCACGGTGCCGCCGAGCGATATTCGAAGCAATATAACGAGAGGTAGAAAATAAGCCCAAATGAAAGGAAGATACCGTGTGATAGACAATATAAAGGGCTACACACCGGCGCAGACAATAGTGAAAACGGAGACCGGAGGTGACCGTAAAACACGCGCGAAGTCGGCACGGCGCTGCTGTTTTCTGCTCGCTGCTGCCGTCGAGCGATGTTTCGGATGTTACTGAGAGAGATAGAGAATGAGTTAGAGCGTGTCTGCTCGCTGCTGCCGTCGAGCGATGTTTCGGATGTTACTGAGAGAGATAGAGAATGAGTTAGAGCGTAATACAAATTGGAGGTGATAGACAACATGTAGGGCTACTCACCAAAGAAGAAATCGACGGAAACGAAGATTGGAGGCGATCAGAAAGTGCGTGCAAAGTTGACACAAAACTATAGTTTTCTGCAGTGCAATTTCTCGCCGTTCGGGTTTGTTCTTCGCTGTTCGGAGATTTTCGCAGCTGTCCGAGCTTACCGGAGGTGGGAGGAGGTTGCCGGGTTCGTCGGGGTGTCTCGGTGGGCTCCGTCGAAGGTAGGAGGAGCTTTTCTCCGTTCCCAAGAGCTTATAACTAAGATGAATTAGAGCTAGAACTAGCTAGAACTAGCAAGATAGAAGCTAGAACTGGCTGTATACAATCTATAACTAGGGGAATAGAAGCTAGAACTAACGTAGAAGAAAAAACTAGTAAGTGTGCATGTAAAAAACCCTTGTTGGGTTTAGAACTAGCAAGATAGAAGCTAGAACTGGGGGTATACAAGCTAGAACTAGGGGAATAGAAGCTAGAACTAACGTAGAAGAAAGAACTAGCAAGTGTGCATGTAAAATACCCTTGATGGGTTTAGAACTAGCAAGATAGAAGCTAGAACTGGGGGTATACAAGCTAGAACTGGGGGTATACAAGCTAGAACCAGGGGAATAGAAGCTAGAACTAACGTAGAAGATAGACTTGTTAGCTTCTATCTTCTACGTTAGTTCTAGCTTCTATTCCCCTAGTTCTAGCTTGTATACCCCCAGTTCTAGCTTCTATCTTGCTAGTTCTAAACCCATCAAGGGTTTTTTACATGCACACTTGCTAGTTCTTTCTTCTACGTTAGTTCTAGCTTCTATTTCCCTAGTTCTAGCTTGTATACCCACATTTCTAGTTTCTATCTTGCTAGTTCTAAACCCAACAAGGGTTTTTTACATGCACACTTGCTAGTTCTTTCTTCTACGTTAGTTCTAGCTTCTATTCCCCTAGTTGTAGCTTGTATACAGCCAGTTCTAGCTTCTATCTTGCTAGTTCTAGCTAGTTCTAGCTCTAATTCATCTTAGTTCTAGGCTCTTGGGAACGGAGAAAAGCTCCTCCTACCTCCGACGGAGCCCACCGAGACACCCCGATGACCCCGGCAACCTCCTCCCACCTCCGGTAAGCCCGGACAACGGCGAAAATCTCCGAACAGCGAAGAACAAACCCGAACGGCGAAAAATTGCACTGCAGAAAACTATAGTTTTGTGCCGACTTTGTACGCACTTTCTGATCGCCTCCAATCTCCGTTTCCGTCAATTTTTTCTTTGGTGAGTAGCCCTACATGTTGCCTATCACCTCCAATTTGTATCACACTCTAACTCATTCTCTATACGAGCTTTTTGTTGTATGCTTTTGACTTGAAATAGAAACTCTGCATTTGCTTCTTTCTTGTGATTTTTTCTGTATATATATTTTTTTGAATGACAGACTTATGGGATTTTTGGCAAACCCCCAGCCCTCAACAGGTTTGATATGTCTTTACCGATCACCGTTTGAAATCAGACTAGCATGTGAATTATTAAACCCGTCTCACATGTGACATTGTGCTAAGAGAGTAAACTCTCTGAGGCTTTGTGCTATGATTTTGAATACATAGGCTTCGTCTTTCCCAATTTGTATCACACTCTAACTCATTCTCTATCTCTCTCGGTAACATCCGAAACATCGCTCGACGACAACATCGAACAGAAAATAGCAGCGCCGTGCCGACTTCGCGCTTGTTTTACGGCCACCTCCGGTCTCCGTTTTGACTACCGTCTGCGTCGGTGTGTAGCCCTTTATATTGTCTATCACACGGTATATTCCTTTCATTTGGGCTCATTTTTTACCTCTCGTTATATTGTTTCGAATATCGCTCGGCGGCACCGTGACAATTTCATTCATAGAGATACATTAATACACATTTTCGTTCTTTCTTAATTACGACATTTCTCTTCATTCCCCTTCTACTCTACTTCTCCTTACGTTTCTTTTTTCTTTTTTTCTTTTTTTTCTTTTCTTCTTCTAGCTAATAGATTAATGTTCTGTGCGTCTCGGCCAAGACGACGAGCTTGAGAAAGCTCTTAGTTTTAGAGAGAAGTGAGAGAGAGAGAGATGATATGAGAGAGAGAGAGAGATGATATGAGTGCTGAGTCAGAGAGATTGAGGAGAGAAGATAAGGATAGTTTGTGAATTTTAGCTTAGCTGGTATGTGATAATTGATAAAAATGAGCTGCAGTACAAAGTGTCACATTTTAAGGGGCTGATCCACGTGGGGAAAACTATGAGAGACATTGTCACATGAAGTTTCTGCTTTTGGGCCTGGACACATTTTTCCCAAATAGTAAAAATAAAAAATAACCTTAAAAATTACCACACTCGCGTACTGATCATATCGTTTGCACGTGCCAAACATCTTATTTATAATTCTTAATCGACTGACAAATCATATTTGTCATTTAAAAATTTACATATTTCCTAAATGGCGGTAAACAAGAATGAATACACGTGCGCCGCACAAGTTAAAAGTGGCTGATACTTCTGTTTCAACACGCTCTATTTATCGACAGAGAGATACGCTATACTGTCACAGCATCAGAAAAAAGATATTTAACAGCCAATCACCGATGGCGGTCAACTTACCCCCAGCTTTTGTGGGAGGTGACAGTAAAATCTCAGCGGTAACCGTAACCGCGAGTAATAATTGGGGTAAAAGTCCAGCTGC